CTAATCTATCTGTTGCAAGTTACGAATAATAGTCAAAGCAAACTTTTCGGCACCGAATCGGCGACCGCAGCGGGCAGCACGACAAGTCTCGTTCCGAAAGAAAAAAAACGTAGAAAGTTTAGCACGGATGTTTTACAACACTCTTGGCAAATAGCATACAACGTTCTTGGCAGAATAATTATATTAAAGTCGGCAGAGTGGTGTGACAGATTCGGTGGGAGACATGACTATGTCCACCGAATATGTGATAGTTATAGTATGAGCATAGTTACCAAGAACCCAAAGCGGACTAGGTAGCGGGGCATATAAGCCCTTTAGAAACAACGGCGCAATTTCTATTGGATAGGTTCGCTCGCGGTTGTTGGCCAACTCTATCGTGAGGTAGCAGTGAAGCCCGAGGCTCATATTGCAGCCGGCTCTATCAATGCGCGATGCGTCGACGCGAAACTGCCAAGAACCAGGCACATCACGTCGAACCGAGCGGGAGCGAAGACGCCGTTGCCAATCCAAACAGAGTCCGAGATGGCCATGAAACTTGGAAAACCACTGAATCAGCGGGTTCCCCGAATCCAACATGTCGCCCGTGCTTTGATTATTAGAATTTAGGACCAGTCGGCACCAGGGGCAAGGTATACATTGAGGTTGCACACGATGACGACGCGAGTAATTTCAGCACACCAAAACGAGTCTTGGACATAGTCTTCTCGGCCGGTTTCGCGCATTGTCCCAGCAGAATAAACTTGCCTATGTTTGGGATTGACTCGCGCAAAACCATGTGCCAACTTGAACTCATCTGCAATGACGACATTTGCACGACATATTGCCATGAGGTTTAGCTTCTGCCAGGTTGAGCCAGAGGCTCGAGGTCTTTCAACGACCTCTCCCAAGAGGATATAAGGCAGCCCGACCCCCGACCTCAAGAAGCGTCTGCAACTCAATTACACAATCAGTTTAACAAGCACATCTTCTCTACTATACAGCACTATCCAAGTGTCCCTCTCAAACCAAGCTCAAAATGAAGTTCTCTTACACTCTTGTCGCTGCGCTCGTGGGAGCCGTCGTCGCCAGCCCAATTGGCGAACCGTCCCTCAGCAAGCGCGTCGACACGGCCAAGGTCAAGGAAGAGGTTCAGCAATTGAACGTCCTGATTCAGAAGTTCCAAGAGGCCAAGGACAAGAAGCAGGAGAGCAAGGTACGTCTGCACCCAGTCCCATGTCACGGAATACATGGCACACTAACACGAGCGGGATGCTTGTAGGGCGAGGGCTGGCAGCAGACCATTGACCTCCTCAAGGAGAGGGCGGCTGCTATCGAGGCCGCGCCAGAGGACAAGGTCGCCGAGGAGATTGGCAAGCTCGATGAGCCACTTGCTCGCATTCGCAAGAGCAGAGAAGGCGCGGTACGTTGAACCAGTTCTTGGGGAATGAGTGGCGTGCTAATACCCACGGCGTGCCAGATTGACCGATACACGAGAAATCTCTTTGGCTTCGTCGATGCCAAGGACCGCCTTACCGAGGCGGCAAAGTAATCCCGTCGCGGGTACGGGTTCTGTTTGGCGGCGTTGTAGAGCTTCGATTCACGGGCAGCTCTATCGGGGGTAAGCTGTGGTCGTTGTAGGGAGTTCTCTGTCTGCTAGAGTTTAAGCTCGGCCGGCCACTAGCGGGTAATTTGCTCTTGCTTGCGAGGGATTCCGGGTGTTTTTCAGCTACACGTGGTGCTGGCGGACTGGTCTATTCGCATGTCGTAGCCAAGGTTCAGATAGGGGCTGCGCGCCGTGCCATCTTTTCCGCTGTGCGGTGCTGGGAAAAGGGGGGAATCCCTTGTCATCTTGCGCAGGTTAATCTAACTGGGTTTCTGTCCGATGTCTTGCGAGAACTGCGTGCACTTTGATGCTAGACGTGTGTCTTGGATTGGAGCTTTTACTTGCACTGACTAACAAGTAAAACCAGGAATAAAGTTGAAGCCAAGTATATTAACAACGAGCTCATATCTAAAATCATGGTGTCAAATGAGTACTCATAGTATTCATTCTAGTGTTTAAATTATACTGCAGTTATATTATCCAGTGAAAAGTTCAAAAGTTCAAAAACAATATGAAAATGAATGACCGTGACAATCTATAAATCTACAAAAACCTCACTTCTCTTACATCTTTAGCTCCGATATTACATTCCAGAACTGGGTATGAGGCCGTATACGGAAGCTACCCGCAGCCAGAAGGCCGTATCAGACTCAATACAAGCACGCACATTACACAAAAAAGTCCCTTTAACGTTATAACATTTCTACAACCAGATAGCCTGGACATCCTCTAGTTCAACCCCGATTCCTTTTCCTTCCATGACAAGCCTAGACCCTCCATGTCCGCTGTCAACGGCATCCAGCACGGTGCCAGGCGTTACCAAAACAATTATATCACCGGACGCGCTCCAACGTATTCAAATTCCATCGACCGGCCATGCATCTACGCACACAATCTGCCCGCCCTCTCCACACCGACAATCTTCTCGTCGCCCTCAACATGCAGCCCCGTCACCATCCCCGTCCCCATATGCACCAGCATGTGGCAATGCATCATCCACACGCCGGGATTATCTGCCCTCACCCGAATCACCACGTGGCCCCTCCTCGGCACGCCGACTGTATCTTTGCGCACGGGGTCGACGAGGTTCGGCGGCACGGGGGGCCCCGACTCGAAGGGGTTGTAACTGCCCCATCCGCTGCGGCCTTCGGCTCTAAACGACGACAGGACGTGGAACGAGTACCCGTGCAGATGGATCGGATGCGTCCCATCGTCCAGATTATTAATGACAATGTCAACGTCCCTCGTGCTCGAGGAATTGATAAACGGGATGAACTGGTCCGCGTCCCAAAGGCTGCGGTCTGTAGCTAGAAGCGGTGGGTTCTGCGGCTTCCACGAGGTGTTGTTGACGAAGCCCATGGGCCTGTTCTGCAGGCGGGAGAGCATCTGCATTTTAAAGTACAGCACCATTGTCTCCTGGGCCTTGGGGGCTAGTACGTCTGTTGGCGTGGCGGCCGTGAGAGTCGCGAGATCACGGTGTTGCCCGTCATCCGGCGGGAGAATAGGCGGGCCATCTTCCTGCCTGCTTTGGAGACGGGAGGGAAAGAAGTCGAAGGTGTGAATTGGGTCTAGGGCCGGGTTGGGAAACCCGCCAAAGTGCCTGTGCCACGGTTAGCAAAGCAATTGATGTTGCGTTTCGAGGTTGGGGAGGCGCGCATACTCGTCGTCCAGCTCAACGTGCAGCTGGTAATTTTGCTCGCCCACGCCGTCCCCGTTCACCAGCAAATCTACCCGTTCGCCGGGATACAAAACGCCCACCGAGCGGCCGGGCCGGTCGTCGACGGCGCAACCGCCATCCACGGCCGCGGGCTGCATCGTCGCCCCATCCGCGCGGAGAGTCACGCCCGCCACGGTCCCGGCATTCACCACCCTCAGCTTCACCGGTGCGTCCTTGGGCCTTCGGGACAGCAATGGCGGTAAATCCTCTCTAGGCCGCTGCGTGCAGACGACCGGGCGCGCGGGCACCGCCATGGAGCAATTGTACCGCCCGCGGCCGTTGACCAGCACCGAATCCGGGACGGGCTCGTTTCCCACGCTCGCCCAGTCAAAGAACCAGTCGAACACGTCCGTCTGCCTGCGGTGAAACCAGTCACCGACGAGGACGAGAGCCTCCTGGTGCTTTGGCCCAAGGCCAGGCCGGTGCACGACGAACCCGCCGTACAGCCCGTCGCCCCTCTGGACTTCAGCGTGGCTATGCCACCAAAAGGTGCCGTGCTCGTCGTCGCCAATCGTAAAGTTGTACTCAAAGTCGCGGCCCGCCGCAATGGGGCACTGCGTGAAGCCGACGGCGCCGTCCATGGCATTGAAGCCCTTCATCCGCAGGCCGTGCCAGTGTATCGCCAGGCCCTCGTCCGCCAGGCCATTGTGCACGTGGACAATGATGCCGTCCCCGGAGCGGGCTTCGATTGTCGGGCCCGGAAATGCGCCTTCAATTGGACCAGGTTAGTTCAATGTTTCTCGCAAACGCGTGGCGGCAAAGTAGAGCGCCGGCCAAGACAGACCATTGACAAGATACACCTGCTTCTCCACGCCGTCCGGCGACATGGTTCCCAGAGTCACATTCCAGTGAAAATGCAGCGTCTTTGCGCCTCGCCACACATGCTCCTCGGGGTGCAGCGCAATCGCGAGCTGCTGCCCATCCGGGCCGGACGCCGGCGACGCCTCACCACCACGCCGTACATACGCCAGCAGCGGCATGGCCAAGAGCACCGTGACCAAGGCGAGCCCCAGCCAGGTCCATGCGGATCGGCCAGATCGGCTCTTGGCTCCAGCGTCGTACTCGTAAGATGGGGGATCAGCCGCCAGCGCCTCATCCAGGAGGCGGCGATCTTCCTCGTCCCCGCGGTCGCTCATTTTCGGGGCTCGGCTCCTATGACGGGCAGCATGGGGTTGACGGAGAGAGGACAGGATCGAGGTTGAAGCTGAAGCCGGCCAAGGGTGTTTTCTGGAAAGGAATCGACCCGTCGGCGAGGAACAAGTCCACCTGTTTGCCAACAGGTACGCGGGCGGCATGGATGCAACCTCAACACCACCGATGACCATTTATGCATGTGCCGACGGCCGTCTCCGCAAGGGGCCGGCCACGATGTGATCCAATCAGCGGGGCGGGGGGATGCCCCGTGTTCATGCAGTCGTGTTTGGAGGGGTGCCCTCTTGTCGCATGTACTGTACCACCCTCCATCGTGGAGCGTCGCCTTTGGCCTAGTTGTGTCTATTTTTGTGACTCGTTTCATTGCTCCGAGTATTCGGAAACGCAGATACAACAAGTTGATGACACGCCAGCAGACGAGTGTGCACTGGCCTTGTGCTTGCGCCTACTAAGAGACCGGGCAGATCCGTCAATGCTAGTTCATCAATGGTTCCACAATGGCATGCACAGCGAGTAACGAGTTCCGTGCAATGGACTGTTATACTGACATTATATAAATCCCGTGGCGTCAAAGTCACTAATATTGTAACTCATGGCAAAAATGTCATCCCCAAGAAAGTCTTCCGCCCTCAAGCCCGCCATGAGGTCGTCCATGTTGCCATCCCATGCCATGCCGCCAGAGGAAAGACCATATGGCCACGGCCTAGTCGCCTCCGTCGGCACAGGAGGCTCCATGCCAATCTGGTTCTGCACTTCGACATCTAACACCCGCTGTTAGCCAATGTCCTTTGTCACACGATACGGGGAATACGCCTACCTTTGGTGAAGGAGTCGAGGTATTGCTGCAGACAGCGGTGAGCCTTCCTGCTCATGATGCTGGTCCCGCCTACCAATCGCAGCGTATCCAAAGTTCGCCGCATCAGGCTTTCGATTTCGAGGCTCGTCTTCCCCAGTGGCGGCAATATGTCCGGTTTATTCGACGATATCAGCCACAACCCAAATAAATGAAGATTTATCGACACCACTGGCACGGATTAGCACGGCCCTTTGCAGACTCCTTTCAAACTCACTCATGTAATTGCACAGCCACCACGCGGCATTCTGCCTCAAAAATGACCGCTGGATCCTCAAGATGGTGCAAAGCAGGTTGTGAAAGTTGTTGATGGTCTGCAAATACGCTTGCAGGATGGACATGGCAATATTGACGTGGAGATCCGAGTCGCCTGTGTCTGCAGCAGTCGAGACATGCCACAATACCGCCAATAGCAGCGGGGCATTGACCAGCATGGTGACGCGGTAGTGATACAAGGAGCTCAGTATTGTATACCTGTGTTCCTCGAGGTCCGTGGCCAGCCATGAATCAACAGTCGCGTTCGATACGAGTACTGTGTAAGGTGCTGCATCTTTTCCAAGCGTTTCCAGCTTCCGTAGCGATTCCATGACATGGGGCACAAGCTCACTCAGTGTGAGGTCATTGGTCGACGTAATATTTGAGTTGTGCATAACGTCAACTACGTTGCCGATAATCTCATGGTACTTGCTACCAGCCGCCTGTCAGAGCAAGAATAGGCACTTGTGAACAAAAACGTACATTACATGCCGAAAGTGAGATAGACTCGACCATCCAAGTTTAGAATCGTCACCTTGTCTGGCGTGTCCATGGCTCATCAGATCTTTGAGCTTGGTCTGAATATGTTGAGCGGGAACGAGAAATGGGCGGCCCAAGCCCGCACCGATGATTCTGGAAACAGTGAGTTTCATCACCGTACTACGACAGCTCGTGATCCTTACCGGTCCTCATTTATAACCGCAAACCAAAGCAAGGATCGCAGCTCATTGTCCTTGTTTCCGAATCGACTGTACGAGGATGGCGAGTGGACACCAAGCTGATATGCAGCTTTGACAGCACGAAAATGAGTCGTGATGCTCTCTTGTGCTCGTTGACTGTTCTGTTGAAAGTTTGCCAGGAGTAGCAGCGCTTGGACTGACCAGCATTAGTATTACCATGTGGCAAGAATCGGCCCGTAGTAGAAGGGTCAAGGTACTTACGGGCTTCAATAGTCGGCAGATAGAGCCCTTTCTCATCCAACAGGCCCAAGGCCCGGCGGTAAAATGGCTCCGCCGCTCCATCTTCGGATATGGCCAATGAATGGGCAAAGACGATGCTCATCAGGGCCTGGGTATTAGAAGGGCACGATTGCCAAGTGCCGGTCCGAGAGTCTATAAGGTCAATCTCTCGAACCAGCATGAACTTGTTGACAAAGGGGAGAACGGGCGCCACCATGTCGAAAAATCTATTTACCCAGTCAATAGCTAGTTTTCGTCCAGGAAATGAGTCTTCTTGGGGTAACGGTTGCCGCTCTGCCGTCACCACTTTAAGCGGCGGCAAGGGAAGCCGTCTTGGCCCATCATTTGCGCCGACCTGTCGGAAAGGAAGATTCTGGCGCCCCGGCTTCTTCTTGTTCAGCTCCTCCAAGGACGATGTGAGAGACCAAAAGAAGGCATGATTTGAGCTGGCGCCTACAGTATTTGCAAATGTCAGTCCTCGCCCTCTTTTCTACGCTCCCATGCTGTCCAGCCATCATTCTTACCAAAGTAGCCTATGTCGGCATTCCCGGGTTGGTCATCAAAGAGGCCGGTTGCTATCGCATCGGCACTTGACTCAACTGCACCCTCAGAGTTCAAACCGCCAGTATTGGCATGGGCCGGGGAAGACGCGCTGCCGCCATGACTGCTGGGCGAGATGGCGTCCTGTGCTTGGGTCTGCTTCACTAGAGCCAATTGGGATTCCAACTCTCGGACTCGATTAGCTAATGCGAGATGTGCTCTTGTTGAAATGTCAGTATTCGCATGCAATGGTGGGGGGAACTGGCGCTCAAAGTCTTGTTTGCTGGAGACGGAAGGCTGCCCACCGTTTTTCTTCCTGCCGGTCCATGCGCCTGTCTCGGCTGTTCTGGGTGTATTCACAAGTGATATTACACCTGATACACCGCTCACAGGACGGATGTCTGCCATCACACTATCAAATGTAAGCAGGCAGAATCACACCGGGGAGCACAATATATGGTTTTACCTTGGACTTGGTCTGCCTGCAGGCGCTACATGCCTGCACGGCCCTGGGCCGCCTTATCAAGGGCCGCGTAGCATGCTCCATGGCAATTCTCTATTCAAGTCGACGCACCGTCTGTTCATGACGGGGTGGAACATGAATGTCAGCCAATGACGAAATGGTTGTTCGAGTGAAGGTGGACGAGGCGAGTTGTCAAGACCAGGATTGAAAGACCAGGGCTGGGACTTGGTGCATCAACGGCGCCCCGCTTTTTCCTTCTCTCTATTCCCGTTTTGCAACTGCCGGGCAGGCCAGGCGCTAAACCCAAACAGGCAGGACGGTCCCTTTATATAAATAAATCTCATTTAATTTATGTCGATTAAATTTTATAGCCTTATCAGTGCACGCCTGAATATGTGTGTAATTTACGGTTACAACTTACAAGTGCGTTTTTAAGGTCTTTCAGGAACGTATATTACTTCAAGCTATTAACACCTCAATATATGGTTTAAGACCCGGCTAGCCGTATTTTTTTTATTCCCTTGTAACTTGCCTAGGTAGGTAGTTTTATAGCTAAGACATTTGACATGTATATTTATATATAAATTTATATATAACAGTACCTTGTAGGATTAACAAGGCAGGCTTTAAGTACAGCCACTTTTTTGGCCTAGTCTTTAATAGCTGTAAGACACTTTACATGTACACAGGTATTTTACAACAAAAATGCAGATGCCTTCCGCCAATCCAAATTTCATCAGTAGTAATCCAAGATGATGCAAGAATCAAACCTGCAGAGTTTAGACCAAGCCTCCCATTCTCGTGGTTTCCTACATGTGATGTGACTGTGGGATTTGGATGACTTCTCCCTCAGCCACCAAACCTACACCTTGTATAACTAGAGCCACTACCGCTCTGCCTTGAGACTAATTCACTTTCGGCTACCAAAAATGGAAACCATCTTCAGCTACTACGAAGTCCAACGAAAATTTCATGTTTACAGTCGACATTCCCCACAATCTGAACAATGTCCACCGACTTGTGAGGCCGTTTGAAGCTGGCATCTTAATTTCAACCTTGACTTGCCAAGCGGAAATATTGTCCGTAAACGATGCATGTGTTCAGCCAGAATGAGAAAGCCGCAGTACATGGAATGTCATTGCATCCGGGCCTCTCACGTACTTGACTCTTCAGCATATACTTGACAGTGGACCGGCGTATCTTGCAGGCACAGTAATCGGTATTCGCTGCCGCAAACAATGATTTCAATAACTTCACATGGCGAAACCCCGTAGATAAGCAAGCCCGCGAAAGTCCGTTCATGCCAAGTATAGCGCAGCTCTACGTCGCATTGCTTGCTCTGTGCCACGGAGTTTGGGATAAAATGAGAGAAGCGGTGGGCCTGCCCTTTCAACTTTTTTTTTTTTTTTTTCCGTAATTGATAACTCACCAGACGCCAGCCATGTATTCGGCAGCGGGATTTTTCGATCAAGGTTTGCCGGCCAACTGAGTGCTACACAGACGACGGTGCTATGCAAGCGCCACATCACCGTTTGGATCAACCATCTCATTTCCGATTAACGAGCAAACATCTAAGCGGGCAGCCACTAGTTCATTAAACACAAAGTGGGGCACAAAGCATGATATCTATTCTCTCAGTTATGTTTACTTTCTCTAGAAATGTCTGGATATCTGCAGAAATGAGACTCGGCGTCACAGACAGCTCAGGTTGGACCCTGTCCGCAGAATAAACAGGACCCGCGGAGAACGTCTGCCATCAAAAGTGACACTCCCGACATTTGAAGACCAATGTACAAAGAACCAGAGACTCCTCAATAGTGCTCTTATACCCCCCCCCCAGATTCATCCGGCATCTGCCAGAATTAGACGCCATGACCACCTGGGGCCTCATCTTGAACATGGACCCGCGAGACAGCCCTCACAGCCAGATTACCCGCTTCTGCACCCCGACACAAGGATCAGACGATAAGGCAGCTTCAGATGAAAGCAGTTGAAGAGGAGGGCTACTCCCCGGCCGTCGCGCTCTGACCTCGCCCTCCAAGGCCTGGGGACGGACTTGGTATTGCAACCATCGGATGGCAAGCTAGCCTTCACTCCGAGGTTGCCATGTCGATCTTGATGTTGCCATGCAAACATTGGATGAAGATTGAGATACAGAGATGAGGCGATATAAATTCCGACTCTATCAAAGGTGGACCACGATATTGATAACAACTGATTCCAATTTCCGCATCGGACGGCCGGTGTTTATCGGCGAATGCAACGACCGGAGTCAATCACATATGTATATCCCATCGACTCGAGTACAAAAGGCCTCGAAAATCCTGTCCACCAGCTCATAACCAGAACCCTCAACCACGGCTAGCCATTCACTCCTTTCCTGCCAACCACCTCGCTTCGCCAAGATGCGCTTCTCGCTCGCCGCCGCTCTCTTCCTTGCCGGCTCAGCCCTGGCTGCGCCTACCGGTAAGTCTTTCACAATCGACCACACTCGTCAACCACTTTGCTAACAGTGTCCGCCTCAGAGCTCAGCCAGCGATCTCTCATCACGCAGGTCGGCAACGTCGTACTCCAGCTAGAAGATGGCGTCGGTGTAACCGCCGTCGAAGGCACACTCGACACCCTCCTCGGCGGTGCTCTCCCCAAGGTTTGCCTGCTCCTCGTCCCACGTCCCCCAGCAGCATGCATCAGACTAACCCCCCTCGTGCAGCTCGAGGACGCGCTCGGCGTGACCTTTGCCGAGAAGCTCCTCGGCCTCTCCAAGAGCGGTGCCGGGCCCGGCGCCGTCCAGGCCGTAGGCGAAGCCGTTGCCATGCTCCTCCAAGGCATCGGCCTCCCTCAAGTCGACGCGTTCCTGGACAGCGCCACCGGCGGAGCCATGTCTTCGTTGGAGGGTGCCCTGGGGGTGACGGACATTGAAAATGCGCTCCATCTGTCCGGGGGCGTTTAGCAAGCAGTCATGAGCGAGACGTGGGTGCAGCATGTTGGTGGTGGTTCCCAAGATGACACCTGTCTGTGGTGAAACAGGCAGCATTCCCGTATATAGTAAAATCTACCTTTACCATGCGTGCCAGTTCCATCTTCCAGCCTGACGGCTAGTACATGACAGGACGGCAGGCAGTTGGCTGGCCCAAGCCATGCTCGCTTACCCATTTCCACAGTGTAACGCGGAATATAGTCCACGAAACCCTCCCAGTCACACCATCTTCCCAACGATTCCGTCGACAACGACACCCAGAGACGGCCTTGTATGCCCCTATTTCATACGCTGCACGAGCAAAATGACACCCCGGCATCTCCCTGCGCCGGTTTCCCGTCCAGACAAACAAAGGCTCATCAGCTCCTCGGCGCCGTCCGTCAAGCCCGGCCCAGCAAACTGTTGAATCTACACCGCATTTCTCACGTCACAACAAGCAAGAGCCTCTCTCTCTCTCTCTCTCACTCCATAAGAATGCAGTTCTCAATGATCCATCCTCCTTGCCCAATGCCCGATGCCTGGTCTTTCAGCATCCCACAGACGCTTTGCAAACAATGCCCGCCGAGCAAATCTCGACGACGGTCAATGCCAGCCCCCATCGCAGCTCATCTCGTCTATAAATCCGCCCTCGGCCAACCCAAGACGCTGTAAACGAGCCATACCACGCCTCGCCTCCTTGCGCCGGTGTATTATCCAGACATCCCACGTCTAGCCGCCATCTGCAATGAAACACACAGGTTCGTCTGCCCAAGGGGGGAGAAAAACCCCCAGTCCCGCGGGGTTACACTTGCCAACATGCGCGTTCGGCAGACCCAGAAAGCAGAGACACAAACGGGGACTACCCCGACGGCGGGCGCGAGGCATGGACAACCATCCTCGGCTGCTGGTGCGGCCTGCTCGCCCCGATGGGCTGGCTCAACGCCCTTGCCGTCCTGCAGGCGCGCGTCTCGCAGCACGAGCTCGCCGGCCTGCCCGAGTCGACGACGGGCTGGATCTTCAGCACGTACGCGTTCTTGATGTTCTCGTGCGGCGTGCAGGTCGGTCCGTGTTGAAACCACCAATCCAAAACCGACAGCTGCAACCGGGAGGTGGTGCTCTAACTGCTGGCCGCGCAGGACCTATATTCGATGCGTACAATGTTAAGCTGCTCATCGTACCAGGGAGCATGGGCATGGTTGTCATGGCCATGATTCTCAGCATCTGCAAGGGTTCGTCGCGCCCTCCCCCCTTTTCTTCTTCCGCGCATCACGGCAATTTTGACACGGCCTTGATTAGAATTCTACCAATTCTTCCTGACATTCTCCGTCCTCGGCGGGCTCTCGGCCTCGCTCCTCTTCAACCCCTGCATCGCAACAACAGGCCAGTGGTTCGGCAAGCGGCGCGCGCTGGCGACGGGCGTCGTCTGCACGGCCGGCGGCACAGGCGGCATCGTCTTCCCGCTCGTCATCCTGTACGCCGAGCCGCGCGTCGGGTTCGGCTGGTCCGTCCGCATCGTCGGCCTCATCTGCGCCGTCTCCGCCCTCTTCGCCTGCCGCCTCGTCAAGAAGCGCCTGCCGCACAACAAGACGGCCGGCGCGCGGATGGACTTGGGCGCCCTGCTCGATCTCAAGTACGCCCTGGCCACGCTGGCCGTCTTCCTCGCCGAGCTCGCCGTCCTCATTCCCTACACGTACATCTCTTCGTACGCGCTGCACGTCGGGTTCGAGGCGCACATGGCGCTCTTGATGAACTCGCTGCTCAACGTTGGCGCGATTCCGGGCAGGGCCCTGCCGGGCTTCGTGGCCGATCGCTTTGGGGCCTTCAACAGCTTCTTGGTGACGGCGGCGGCCTGCGCAGCCAGTGTATTTTCATTGTGGTACACCGCCGCGGGTGGTCGGATGGCTGTGATTTCGTTCACGGTCCTGTTTGGGTTCTGGTCCGGCGCCACGATTGCGCTTACACCCGTGTGCGTGAGTAGGGTGTGCCGGATTGAAGACTATGGAAAGCGGAGCGGAACGACGTATTTGGTTGCGAGTGTCGGCGTTCTGGTCGGCGCCCCCGTCGCTGGTGCAATAATCAGGGCGGGCGACGGTTCGTATTGCGGCATCATGGTCTTTTCGGGAGCGGTATACGCCGCTTCTGCGGCCACGTTGTATTGGGCGAGAGGGGTTGCTGCTGGTTGGGGGCCAAAGGTGATTTTCTAGATGAGGCATACGATGTCGACGACGACACATATATGGACACACACATATATAGCGGAAGCGTGTGGATTCCATGCAGAAATGTGGCCTGTTGTAATGTAGTTATCCGCCAAACCCAAAACGCCACTGCTCACTATCCATGAGCGTTTCCCAATTCCCAAATGTCTATCTGATATGTCGCTTGTATTGAGCGGCATTATTGTGGGTATTGTACAAGATGGAGGAGTATGCCAATGTCTGAAAATTAAAAAAAAAAAGTATACACTTGCGCGCAGCATCTAGCGTTGCAACAAGATAAGCAGAGATCCACTGATGCCGTTATCAAGAAGAAATATGTGCTCTTTTGCAAGAAAAGCGGAGTCAAGGCACGCGGCCACTATTGCTTTTTGCTGAAGCGGCGGGGATTACGGCCGTGTAAATTGTCGTTCGTCTATGCAGGGGTATTAAAAAGTCGGAGGATGCCCTCGTACATGCCAAACATGATGGCTGCACTCGGAACTGTTCGCATCAGATGAGGCGTGAGACCGCCGTACAGACCAATCATGCCCTCTTCTTTCCACACCAGCTTGAAGCACTGGATCAAACCGGTGTATTTCGGAAGGCCATTGTCCATCGGGGCCTGTCGCAATCGGGTTCGGGCGACCTGGAAATCATTGTCAGCAACCCTATGAGCCATCACCCAACACCGTCAACGTAACACGGTACCTCGTGAGGATATGCCAAAATGGCGGCAATTAGTTTCGCGCCGCCAGCGGCACCAGCCTTGCCGGTCCAGTCCACCGAGTTATCCCACCAAGTCTTTTCCCTCCCGCTGCGCTGGATGCGCTCCTCTCGTCTGGCCAACGATGCCTTCATCTGCTCGTACAACATCCACTGCAACGTAGACTCGGCCACCCCCAAGTAGCTTGCGCTCATTCCCTTGTACAGGCCGCGAATGCCTTCGTCGCGAATGATCTGTCGCACGCAGTCGTAGCTATTACGGTACTGTCGCTGCATGACGCCACCGCTGCGCTCCGAAACGTTCTTGTCAAGTTGCAACCGGGTCTTGACCATCCAGATGGGGTTTGTCGCTGTTGACGTCGCTACACCGGCTGCCACGCCAGCTAAAAGATGCACCCAAGGAGCCTCCTCGCCACGATTCCAGTACTCGGAGATGATTCGCTTGCCGTTACCATAGACAAAGAAGTTTATGCTCCTTGCGGGCACAATGCCCACCAGATTGGGGCCTAGACCTTTGAAGAGAGCTCTGGAGCCTTCAGTACGATATACTGAGCCAAGGATGTCCAGGGTGTCGGTAAGATGATACAGAGCGGCTCTGGCTGGATTCAATCCCGCCAAGGCCTGTCCTTTAGCCATTCTAGCGGCTCGGAGTTGCGCCTGGTAAATGTCGGATTGTAGCCTGGTCTTGAGCACGTCAAGCGGCGCAGTAATGGTCGCAGCGGTCATTCCCCCAACACTATAGTCGAGCCATTATTAGTAAAAGGTCTGTCGCCGAAGAGGACAAGTTAGAGAGCAGACGAACCCTCCCGCCATCATGTGCACCCACGACTTTGCAAACGGCAAAGCCTTGACCTTCCCTGTTGGCGCATCGTCGGGGATCACATCTCCCGTTTCCCTGGACTGGATCAGCGCCGCATGCTCGGCAGGGACATGTGAGTGTTGGAAAGGTTTTCGGTCGTCTTGGCCTACCGCGAATGCGGCAGGCTGCCGTTGGGCCATGGTAGGTATATTCTTCAGTATAAACTGACGGTTCGTTTGTTGTCTATGTTTCCTATGTGAGGTGTGAGATGTGTCTGCGTCGCTATGCACGGATTGGTCGTTTTGAGTCGTCAGAGGAGGCAGACGGCAGAGAAAGGAAGAAATCTGTCGCGACAACTAGGAGGCGTCAAATGAGGCTCCAACTTTTTTTGTGCTGTGTCAAAGTTCCAAGTATTCACTAGCGTGGGCCTGGTGGAGTCGGGGTGACCAGAGTGGCCACGGAGACTAAAAGTGACCAAACGCAACGAGCTTAGATACACACCTTTCCAGTAGAAATGCGCCTAACGCTGCAAGTATCCAGCCGGTCCAGGCCGTCCCCGGTCAATCTAGAAGACATGCGGGCCAATTCTGTCCGCCTGCCTCCGTCTCTCTGCACACAACTTTAGAACTCACATAACTCACTTGTTACTCCATAGGACAGTATCTTGTGATCTCCTTACTTGTCACACACGGTTGCACAAGTATAACATCGCATTGAGTTATTAAGGCGCAATGTTTCAAAAGACGCAAGCAGCTTCGTCTTCTTTATTAGACCCCCACGTTCATCCCTTCTCCATTATAGGCCGTGACAGCCCGCCTGTCTGAGATAACTTATCGTAGGCTGGTGGCAAAGGGAAAATTAATTTCGAGTAGCTGTTTAGGAATCTATTTAGTCCATCGGGACTATTTGAGTCTATTTAATATACATTATTTCAAAAGCAATGACACTTCGAAATGCTCTGTACTGATGCATCTGTCCCGCGCACCTGTTGTCTCTGAATCGTACATTTCATGCCTCATATATTTTCATTACGCGCATGAGCTTCCTTGTATCGTCTTAGCTGGCCGCCTTTCGTATGTCGTCAATATCAAAAAGAAAAGAAACGGGCTTTGATCGTCATCTCGACGGCGGATTAGATGGGTCTTGCGCGCGTCGTATTGCATCCATCTCGCCTGATATGGGCCCAAAATGCCTAGGGCGAATCGGTTCCCTTATGCGAGGTATTCCCCCCAGCCCAGCTGCCAGGTTTGGCGGCCTTTGGTCTGGTGTCTCGTGTCGTGCTATCGAAATAGAGTCTGGGCTGTGAACCATTGGCATGCTCATGTCAGGGTCGGCTCGACTTCCCGGTCCAGGTGTGCCTTCGGAACTAAATATACTACTTCGAGATTCCAAGGGCGCTCGGGGATATCGAGTATCGTTTGGGCCCAGAATATCATTGTCGCTTTCCGCCATCGTCTCCGCCTCAGTCCCTAATTCATATTTAACTCTCGCTGCTTCATCATCTGTAACTGACTTCCAGCTACACTTGGCGTGCTTCTTAGTACATCCCTGACAGGCTGTAAGATGCTTGATACAGGGCAATCGCAGGCGGCGGCACCGGTCACAGGGAGGGTTTATGACATCGCCTTTCGAAAGTCGATCAGTGCTTTGACAAATGAGTGACCGCAAGATTTCTCCCCTGCTTTCCGCCGAATTCATCATCTGATTGTCCAGCGGAGTTCCTCCCGGGGAACGCAAAGACTGCGTGGATAGGCGGTGCTGGTGATGATGCGGCGAGTGAACAGATGGCGACGACGGGCCAAGGTTGATGGCTGACAATCCAGCGTCGGAGGCAGACTGTGGCTTTATATTGGATGGAGCCATTGTCAAAAATTGATGTAGCAGGTCTGCATGCAAGTCGTACGAGGTGCTAAAACTGTTCTGCCGTCCAGGAGCGTTCGGAGGTTGGTGTCTTGGGCCTCCACTGTCTTGACTTCGTCTACGAGACAGGTCATTCTTCCTGTGGCCAAGCCTGTGATGAAGAATGCGGGCTCGAGCAGCCACTTCGTCGGCCTTCTTGTAAAGAATCGAAGCTCGTTGTTCCAATATATCCAACGTCGCCAACTCAGCAGTTTCGTCTTCTTCGAACGGGTGTTCAAGGGGGAAGCGATCTAGGGCTCCAGACGATATCAGTCTCCAATCATCCTCAGTGATTTCAACATGGACGCCGTTATAAGAGAATCGACAGAAACGGCTGCCGTCAGGCATTGTTGTGAGGCTGAATTCGCCTGGGCTAGCCTTTGCAAAAGCAACCACGTCAAGCCAGCTTATTGGTGCCGAGACGGGCTGTGAAGAACTAGTCTTGATGGGTCCATCAAAGAACTTCTCGATACCTTTGAGTAGTCGTGGTCCGGTTAGCTTTGCCCCCAAGTTTGCCGCCAGACTCTCGTGTCGATCTAAAACACCTACACACAGTTATATGTCAATGGTGGCAAGTTGATTGGAGAGTGTGTACAATCCATGCAGGGCGTACCTTCATATTCTCCAATTAAGCTAACAATATGAGAAAAGGTGTCATGATCCCCCTCGATAAGGCTAAGACGCTCAGCATTAGGCCGTGGTACATAATTGATGTAAGGTCCTCCTGTAATTTTCCAAATTTGTCAGTTGAAGAATTGTTGATGGCGGGACGAAGCATCAAGTGTCAAAAGCAGGTAGTATATCAGCAGCTCCCACCCCCCGGAGTTTGGAAACTACCCGCGAGGATATATTCTAAAGGTCGCAAAGCCGAACGAGAGGGTGACTATGTCGTACAAAGGCGCATACTCACCCAGTTGATTAAATACGCCTGATCTGACAGGTGGTGTTCGTGCAAGGTGGTCTCCATGCTGAACACCAGCCTCTTGGGGGTCTCGATGTCGTTTGTGAAAGTCTAAATCGGGTACAGGTGCCATGACGAAACACTCCTCGGCGTAGTTGTTCAATTATGATTGATTTAAGAGTTAATCGACGTGGCGCGAGAAGCGGGCCGGACCATGTATCAAGACACAGGCTTCTACAGTCAACTTGGCGAGGATGGCGCAGCTGGCTTGTACAATATGTAAGTAATAGCGCAAACGGAATCGTTTGTGAAACTCGTTTGGCGCTGCATTGCGGACACCCAGCCAAGGATGACTGGTGGGTCTGCAAGGGAAACGGAACAGTATTTGACCAGGGCAAGGTGTCGTGTAATCTCAAAGCCCGTGTATTGAACTCGGGCGTCAAAATTCAAGAGGTGAGTTGTGTCGGATTAGACCCAATTCTGGGCAGAGAAGGCTGTTCAAGACCCGAAAGCCCACTCGCGATTGTGTGAGAGGTTGTGTATAAGCCGCCAGGATGACAAGGTGGTTTGGGAGGCGGCACGGGTCGTATATAAAAGGTATGCTGCATATGAATGGGCACTTGACGTAGGAACAACCCAACTACCCGCCCAACAACTGACTTTGCAGTCTGATCCCCTCAACAAATACAAATTAGGTTATCGGCCGGGACCGGCTCGGGTAGGTTTGCAGAAAGTATTGAACGGGTCTTTGAGCTCACGATAATACATCCACTGTCTCTTGAGAGGGGGTCATGTGGGTATTGCTGGGCAGCTACCTTAAACTTAGGCAGGATATGGAAGTGATGGGCGTTATTGACGGCGGAGAGGTCCAGAGGTCCAGAGGCTGAAAGAACAAAGTTGCCAGAACTGCGTTTCCCACTCGACGCCTTACTGGAAGATGTATACTTCGTACAGGCGCCCGTTGCTCATATAAAGTGCCCGCTTCCCGCCACCGCCTCTTGCGTAAGTATTTACTGGAGACCAGCAGCGCTAAAAAGACTCAAATGTTATCAGCCACGGCCCTCCTCCACGCCCGCAGGATGTCCGCATACCGGCTGTTGGCTGGGTCGACGCAGGTCGACAAATTGGTAGGCTGGTAGGCAAGCAGGGGGCATAATGGAGCACACACTGCCGCTCCTCAGCGGCAGGCGCTCTTAGCATGGCAGGTCAGGGCGACGATCCCACTCTGACCGAAGCCATTATGGTGTCAACCTCCAGGGTTATCCATAATGAAAGAGTCCGTTATACTGTGGGTGCGTGGGCCAATACACCCAACGGCATCAAGAGAGAGTGGACAGGCACCTCTTGCGGACAGGCTTCCATAAGACAGGTGCTGGTTTTGGACATCGAGCTATGATTTGCGGTCCGCGCTTCATCGTAACTCGTAGACCGAAATCAGTGTCTTAAAACAAGACAACGGTCCGCCACGTATCTTTCCCTCGGGCACCTCGCGCTCTGCTACCAACGGGCCAGATTCCATTGAGAGTTGGAGTCAAGGGACAATCTTTGCTGAGCCCGGTCCATGACTGTGATATCCAGCAAGGCCCGCCAGCAACTCCCAGACAAACGAGTGAAATGGTCTGGACAAATCGCACGAAACAGCATAGGCGGGTCTCCAGCAGTTGGCCTTTGGACCTGGACGCGATACTGCTCTCGCCAGAACGAAGGAAACCGTAACGTCATGGCTTCAGCCAAATCGTCCGTGCAGGTTGAGATATTACCAATGTCTCCTCCGGCGCGTGTTTGGTTTGGTGGAAATGCAAGGCGTCCATGGGCTGCTCTGCTGGGTACGAGGCATCCCCTGCCACAAACTGCTTGACCAACCCCGAGTACGACGTCCTTTGATGTCGGCAACTGTTTCCTTGGGATTCGTTGAAACATCCCGACTGACGTAGGTGATGCATTTCGGAGACCTGCGACTGGCTCAACATCGGCAAGAATGCACAATGACAGCATAGTGGTGACAATTGGCCCAGTCGATGGCGCCGCGCGTGGGAAATCTTTCCTCGCCTGCCAAGCCAAGCCGTTGCATCGACGTAGTACAAGACGGAGCGCGGAGTAATACTTGTTGCTTGTCACATCTTCTTTTTGTGTTCAATGTTCTTACCCTCCCTCCCTCCTTCCTTCCTTCCTTCCATGTCCTTCCTTGATGCATGTCGCTCAGGGTCCCATGCCCTGCACTGCAGTCTAGACTGCTCAGTCTTGCCCCAAACTAGCCTTACTGATGGTCCCGCGCCTTTTCAGCAACTTGCTCATCAGCGCCACGTCCCTGTCAGAATATGAAGTGTAGGATGAACTAGTGTTCTGAGCCCTGACTGCCCACCCTTGCACCCATGAAAGCCGGAATAACTTAATATCTAAGTAAATAGAGGTACTACTTTAACCGCTATTATCCGATTGGCTATTAAACCCCGGACCTGACTCTCCACAAGGTCCTCGACTCTTAAAGAGACAAGTTCCCCGTCCAGCGCAGACGGAATTCGCACAGGCAATGTCAAACCCGTTGCCGCTTGGGAGTTGCAGCTACGCCCAGGGATGCCGCCTTCCCCACCATGTTCTCCCGTAATTGCGGCTGCGGAATCTCCGCGCAAGGGGGCACAAGTAAGGTCATTACCATGGGTCAGCTTGAGAGCTGCGAGAGCCGTAAGAGGCGCTAAACCCAAATAGGACCTCCAGTTGACCCCTCTCGGCACGCTTCTGCGCCGCCAAACCGCAACTCGCGTCTGAAGCTTTGGTGAGGGCAGCTTTTTTTCTGCCATCCCGACCCAAACGGCCTATCCCATCGGTGACAAGCACGCGCGCGCGCACACACACACACACACACACATGCGACATGTCCGATAGACCCACGCATCGAGGCGGAAGAGGAGGAGGAGGAGGAGGAGGTCCTCGCGGCGGACGAGGTGGTGGTCGTGGTGGTCGTGATGGTGGTCGCGACGGCGGCGACAAGGGCGAGAAGCCCAAGAAGGAGAATATCCTCGACTTGGCAAAGTACATGGACAAGGAGATTACCGTCAAATTCAACGGCGGACGAGAGGTTACGGGCACGCTGAAGGGCTACGATGCGCTCATGAACCTGGTGTTGGACGAAGTTAGGGAAACGGTTCGAGGTAGGCTCTGTCTTTTTGCCTTTTGGGTGACGAGAAGCCATGGCCGCAGTGACGAGACGAGCTGACACATGCTGCAGATGAAGAAGGAAACGAGTCCACTCGACCTTTGGGCCTCGTTGTTGCTCGCGGTACTCTTCTCGTGGTCATTGCTCCCGTCGATGGAAGTGAAGAAATCGCCAATCCCTTTGCAACGGCGGAGGAGTAAGGTTGGATTTGGTGCCAGATTTGAAACTCCAACAAGCACGGCCAAATTTGCATATATGCGACGATCTAGAGGCCCTGGGCTCACCATACGGTCCTGAGCCTGTGCAACAATTCGCGATAGGGCTCGCGCGATAGTTTAATCTGTCGTTTTGCTAGGACAGAAGACGGGCCACATCAGATAGCAAGTAGAGGATGCGCCTCGCAACATCACAAACGGGTCGCCATCATGGTCGTGGCAATGATGCTGCCATAACCACCACATCATGGGAACCTCTTTATGAACAATACAGATATGACATTTTTTTGGGCTTAGTTCTATGCAGCTACTTTATCCACTACTGCTTCCACCGCTAGTTCGAATCAATCAATGATTCTCATATCACCAAGAGTAGCCGCTCGCCGATCCTAACAGGCTTCATCCATCATGCCATCCAGACCCAGGGCAACCAACCGGTAACCGTCACTGCTTAGTCATTCCTACCATCCGAATGCCGTACCTCCAGGCCAAGTTAAATTCCCCTTCATCGGTGCTCAAAAACAATCGAAGCAAGCAAGGAAAAAGGAATTTCGTTTCATCCACGTATAAACCCCATCTTTACATGTGAGCACTCTTGGACCGGCGTGGTGGTGTCGTGCTGAGGATCTTCTAGAACCCCCTACTCTGCTTGCTAGTCTTCTGGAGCTCCCCAAACGCATTGCCCAGTTGCTTCTTCAGCTCCTTATAGCTGACGATAAAGCTGGTCTGCTCATCACGGCTGGTAAGGCAGATCCTCTCGTCAGTCCCTGCATCCAGCCTGTTCAGGCACCGAAGCATGTGGCCCATGTCAAGCACAGGGTTTCCACTAGCGTCGACCTGGTGGAAGACATAGTCCCTGAACAGCTTGAGCATGTACCTCTCTCCGTTTTCAGACCACGCTCGATCCCCTTCGAGTTCCTGCCGCTCATTGATGCAACCAAGCTTGAGGAGCAGGCGGGCGATGCGGCCGTTTTCCAGTTCCCGGTATAGTTCGGAGTTGAGGTCGTCAGACTGGTGTTGAGATTGGTCGAGAGTGGTGACGATATGGCCGGCAATTCCGCGAATGAATTCTTCAATGGTCTTTTGTGAAGGTGGCTGGGCGGGCGTGAGGAGCCATATGATTGTGTCGCGGAGCTCGACAGAATACGAGCGGGCCATCAATTCGATGGAGGCTTTGAGGTTGGTGAGTTGAGCTGGGGGCGTGTTGGTGGCTAGGGAGAGGATTGTGCGGCCAAACTGCATGAAGTCATCTTGCTGGAGTTCGGGGACGGGCCGGCGCATATCGAATTGGACTACATCGAGGATGGAGCAGGCGTTGAGGCGTATGCGGTTCTTGCCCGTGAGGATGATTTTGGTCACGTCGATGCAGCGCGCGGCCAGGTTGATGGAGTGAATGGACTTGAGTGCGTTTGCGATCTGAGCTATGTAGCCCCACAATACAGCTTCGGAAACTGGTGACTTTGCTTGGAAGCGGTTTCCTGGTGACGGTGCGCCAGCGCCAGTACTCAGGTGAACTTCGGCTAGAGTTTTGGCCAGAGGGTGGTAGTCCTGTACAAATATAAGGGAGCTGTCACCAAAAGCTCGTGTCGTAAATGCATCGTGTATTGTAACTATGTTTGCATTGTCAATCTTCCTCCAGTCTTTGACGGATCTGATGGCGTGTTCGTTTGTGAGTCTGAAGCCCTCCAGTCTTCGTAGGCAGTAGAGATTGCCCGTCTTGGATGATGTCGCTTTGTAAACCCAGCTGGGATAAGAAAAGACGTT